TAATAAAGTATTGTGGAAAAAGGGTTAAAAATTATTTTAGTAAAGTGTGTAAGATATTGGAGGTTAAACAGCTTTAAATCAAAGACAAAAAAAAAAAAAAAAAAAATAAAGACAGAAGCAGACCCAAAGTTGTGCTAATCAGGCAGAAACAAGTGAACATTGCATTTTATAATGTTCAAGACAATTTGTATTACATGTTAAGACACACAAATATTTGATTACAAAGATAAAGTATAAATACAATTTAAAAACTAAAATTAACAAAAATAATCCTGAGAATATAAGCTTTCATATGGTCTAAAAATTTATCTAAAAAGTGGCATTAAATTCTAAAACATACAGTTGGATAGAAGACAGGAGAATTGAAGACATCAATCATCACTGATAAATGCAATTTTATAATTCTTAAAAAGTTCTAGTCCTAAGTATGCCAAAATTAACAGCAGTTCACTGTGACTTTTACAGTCCAATGTTTAAATGCCCAAAATTAGACTGAGCTGTGGATAACATCAGACACCTAAACTATTTTCAGTATAGTTTTACTTTCACTCTGCCATATAGTGCTAGGTTAACTTTGCATGCAATGGACAGAAATACAAAAAATAAGGTACTTTTCATCTATGTCATTTCTTTTACAAGTTGTTAATGATAAAGTTAATGATAAATAGATTGCAACTAATGTCGTGTGGAGAGTAGGTCAAAGGAGTTCAGTAGGGGGTCTGGGGGTATTAACCATTAACCAAACCATTAGCAGTACAAATTAGAAATTAGTAGCACTCAGAGAGCAGAGAGTGCAAACCACTACAAAGGCAATAATGAATCCTTTAAAAAGTTCTTGCATCCAGATCAGAATCTGGATCAACAAAATTTAATGGCAACTAAGTTGGACACACCTCTGGTGAAAATTTCGTAAAATTCTGTCCTTAACTTTTTGAATTATCCTGATAACCAATTAACAAACAAACTAACCAATGCTACCCAAAACAACCTCCTTGGCAGAAGTAATAACACCAAGAAAGACACAAATGCAAAACCAGACAAAACACAAAAACAACTAAAGGTTACCACACTTCACAAGTTAATATAAACTCCAGAAATACAAGTCAATACCAAAATACACCTCAAAGCTATGTAGAAGCATATCCGTAACTCAAAATATTACACCAGGATAGAATATCCAAAACACAGAAAGAAACACTATGATCTTAAAAAGTTACATCAAAGCAAAATAAACAAACAAACAAACAAAACATCAAATAATACAAACAAAAACATACAAATCCAGAACAATCAACATAACACTAACATTACCCACTTCCATCACCCAAACCCACTACTCACACCCTTTACCCACTCCCATCACCCATACCTTTCACCTATACTTTCTGACCACACCAAAAAACAAAACAAAAAAACAATTAAAGAAATGAAGAAAATCTAAACTGGGTGATTACCACAAAAAATATAATGAAAGCAGTCTAATCTAATAAACAATACAAAATCAGAATTTTTTTTTAGAAATAACTATGGAAACAATCAAAGATTTCACCCCAATTCTAAAACAAATAGCCTATTTGATAAGTGAATAGAATAATAATATGGGATGCCCACTCAACCAAAAAAAAAAAAAAAAAAAAAAAACATATATAAATAAATAATCTGTCATATAAGGAAAACTTTGGATTACTCACTTTACTTTTAAATCAAATAACTATGAAATAATTAGGAAAAATAGACAAAATTAAGCTGATGGAGGACTTATGATAGGGATAAGAAATTATATTTCTATTAGTAATATCAATAAAATCATAATTATAATATTTACCTAAGAAATAACTGTTGATGTTGATAGCATTAGTAAAAAAAAAAAAAAAAAAAAAAAAGTTTTCCTGCTGTTTCAATTAAAGTCGAGGTCACAAAATCTACTAATCAACTACATTGTAGGAGTACCATCTATGTAAAGAAATATTCAACAAAAAATACTAAAGTGAACACAGCATTTTACTGTCGGCATTGGGTTAATAAAAGACTCTGGGGAAAATTTAAATGTTGATAATAAAAAATAAAAAGATACATTACAAACCTTGGTGGAACAAAAAAAGAAACAAAATCATAAAGCAGAGAAACAAAGCTTATAATAAATGGAAGAAAAGACCAAGCACACAGAATAGACTAAAAAAAAAAAAAAAAATTATTAGCAGAAGCTAAACAATTCATCAAAAGAGAGAAAAGTGAATCATGGGAAAGCTTTTGTGCTTCCCTAAATTTAAAACTCCTTCCAAAATATGTGGAATTTCATAAAAAAAAAAAAAAAAAAAAAAAGGTAAATCAACATTCAAATATCAAAAAACTAAAATTATTTAATGAACAATCTGAAAATATAAAGGTGCTGTCACACTATCACTTTTTCCTTCAATTTTTTGGCAATTTTATTTAACATAAATACAAAAATTCTCGAATATAACTTGATTTGACAAAATACATTACAAAAATCAATATAACTCTACGGATGGTACTGCCATATTTGAAATTCCACAGACTAAAGTTTAAAAACTACAGGAACTCAACCCACCTTTCGGCAAACTCTTCAGGTATTCGCACATTCCAAATCCCCCAAAAAACATATTGACCAATAAAACAGCCTAATATCATAATTAAAGTTGCTGTGGCTGGTCGTGTCCTTCAGGCACTGTCTAAGGGGAGGGTTGATGGGGGGCAGAGCCCCCGCAACACCCCATGGGACACATTCTCTTCACCATTGTATGAATGGCAAGATACAGCTACGTTCACACTGTAAAATAATAAACCAAATATTTTTATATTTGGAAACATCCAACCTTTGCTGGCTTCTTTCTACAGACTGGATTGCTTCGATCTTAATCACTTTTATTGGCATTTGAAGCTCTTGATCGGCCCAGATATTCAACTGGGATGGTTACTAAAGTCTAATTCTTTTTCGTTGCCACTGTATAAGTCTTAAAAATAACCTAGAATCAACACAACATTGGAAACCCAACATTTCTCACCAACGTTCTGTCACTGAATGGCTGGGCAAATGAAAGTGTGAAACATACAATGCACAGATAATTCTAAATCAGGGTATAGATCAATCTTAAAACATGTAAATGAAGTACAATAACATTAATAAAATACTTTAAGAGCATAAATGTGTAACGGCACACTGATAATTAGCCAAATATCGTTTTGACAAGTGCGTACTAACACATGAACTACTTCAGATATCGCAGTAACGAGTTTAGCGGTCAGTGTTTTGTTTCTTGGCAAGGTAAACAAGTAGGACATAGAATTTGATCGGTGATAGCAAGGTATATTTTCATCATTTAGCAGTGACTATGAGGCTGCCGCAGCTTAAACTATGTTCTATCCTTTTCTATTTCTTCTGCTCTATAAGATAGCGGTGACCATTTCCCTCTATCACCGCACGTTGCTCTCTTTAGCTTTTACCCAAACGACATAATACTTCCTCCTTCAAAATACCAAAATTACCAAAAAATATATAAAGACAGATCAATAATAAAAAACTAAACTGTTATTTTACCATTTATGACAATCAGGATATTTTTCCAATTATGATAATCACAATTTCCCACACAATATTTTTATCATCAGCTATTTGTGTGTGATGTGAATGAATCTGATTATTTCTGTCGTAATCACAGCTAACAATCTTGCTGTATTAAGTCCCGAAAGCTGGGGAGGATATCAAGTATATCAGGGAAATAAATTTTTTTGTTTGGTTAGGTTGGTTTCAAGGTCAGGATGTTCCAGGAATTCCCATACGGTTATTCAAATTTTGGCACATCAGTCCATAGAATTTTGAAGATAATGGGCAAGTATGTAGAGTTTCTTGAGCCAATTTCAAGTGTTTTGTTGTCCTGGTTTTACACATTTTCATTCTCAATTCTAATAATTTCAGCCTGGTTTACTCTGTAAGTTCCCTGATATACTTCATACCCTCCCCTGCAATCAGGACTATCAAATCATGATTGCTGATGGAGAAATGGTACTTTGATCTCCTCAATGATTTATTTCCACATGAAACAATGCCAAGAATCCTTGAAATCCTTAGATTTCCTGAAAAAAATAACATAAATTTCTTTTTTCGGCTTAGTCTAGGAGAGGGTGTATTGCTCTCGGTAACAATTAGCTTTGTCTGGGAATGGCATTTCGTCTGTCAAACATGAACAGAAGATTTCTGTACTGAATACATAAACTGAAAATAAAATCTCTTCACAAAAGCATAGTAATACATGAACTAGTTGACAGATCAAGGTAATGAGTTATGCAGTCACAGTAATATTTTCTTTCTTATCAACATGGAAAGAGCCTTAGGAAAAAATGGGCCAACCTTCTCTCTTCTCTGTCATGCCTCTCCTTTATTTTTAATATGTGGCATAGATGAAAAGTGCCTCAGTTTACATTGAAGTATCCATTCCATACTATTTTTTCCTTTTTTTTCACTGAACCCCTAATCTAATGAAAATTATTATATTAAAAGATAATAATCCACAACCATATGGAAGACCACAGAACAGAAAAAAACTGATGTTTGCATTACAAGACTACTGTGAAAACACACAAGACTACAGAACACTTGTATAAATAAAAAATTGAATCAGATCCAATGTACCTATGGTGTAATAAACAAAAAACACCAGAACATTAATTCTTATAAAGCCCAAATTTTATCTTACACAAAACAACTTGAGAAAATCACCAATGCTAACATACTAAATCCTGGGTTAAGATTTACAAAAGGAGGGAATAAATGGCCCGTATTCTTATGGGCAATGAAAAACTACAGATTAATAAATATAAATTGCATAAACGAACCGATAATAGAATATCAACGGAAATGTATTCCCCAAAACGTCGCGTTGCGGCTAGTCCACTCGCTGTTGACGCGGCCAAGTCAACACGTGACCTAATGTTTACAAATTTCTCCTGCAGTTTCCCCACCTACTCTACTGCCAGGGATGACTGCTTTTCTGGAGGAGCATTTCTGTCGTTCTCTAAACATCAGATGATAAAGAAAACGGACGTAAATAATAAAATTGGACCATAAACTATCATAAACGGCTGAATATTATATGATAGTTACAGTGCGCAGGATCACTCTAGTAATTATAATACTCTCTGCGGTACTTTCTTGTTTAATGCACTGCATAAAACAATATTACTAAGCTAATATTGTAACACTCAAAAACATAAAATGCACCCGCATCTCTTTAGAGAAAATGTATTAGATGTATAACTTAAGAAAATGCGACACTGAACTTGTAAACTTTCGATCCCACAAGGCATCTTTTCCAGCGGTTACGGAAAACGCGACAGGAATCGAGCAGGCGGTAAACATATATCGAGTTACCAGATGCATTCCTCCTACTTCGCATATTTCATGCATATTCATATTTGGATATTTATAACACTGAACTGCCCACAATAAAATATCAAAAGCCATCTTGGATATAATATTCCAAAATACTGTGTACCTCTCGGAAAAATAAACAGTACAGTAAAAGAGAACCAGTACAGTAATATAGCAAGCCGTCAATCGCGGCCATTCCCATTACGTCACGGAAATGGGTGAAGGCCTGTCTCGCCTCCAATTACGAGACAGCTTTTGGTGTTGCGTCGCGTTGCGAGACACCCTAATTGCCACCGGAAAAGATGGCATTGGTTTATCTAAAAAGTATACGACTATATATTGTGAGTGTGCGGTAGGGCTGAAGGTTTAAAGTCACTGGAACTGGCTGTACCTTGGGTAATGCCCTCCTAGAAGACCCTGCTAACGTTCGGTCTGACACATTATATCAGTTCATACCTGGATGGTTTCGGCAATTTTCATGTTTAATTGATTTGAACATGGGAAATATCTCAATATTGTTTTAAACACCTTTCTTTTACATCAAACCATCTGTAATCATATAAAACAACAAAATTACGGCCTTCGGAGAAAAAGTTACGTCTCCATCCGTCGGTCGTCTTTTGTTTACGTTTAGCAGAATTTCGTTAAACTCTAGCCTCCTCGGCTATTGGGCATTGGGAAAGGCTAGATCAGCAGCAACTTGAGCAGACGTTAGATTTTGATGAAGTCACAAAAGTTGCGATTTAATTTTGAAAAAAAACATAGGGTTTATTATTCATTTTGGTATATTCAATAAAAAATAGAAAATAATGATTTTAATGGTTATATTTTCATTGGACAATCACCAAAATAGCCCTGTGGATGAGAAGAGTGGGCTATTATGTTTATGCATGATTCACCTGTGGGAGTCAAGCCAAAGGCCTGTATTTTTTACGCAGCTTGAAGGAATTAAGTATATCTACTTTCATAATTACCGCCATGCACTCATTGAATGAATAAAAGGTATTTTATTCAATGTGTAGGATACCAGGCCGAGCTATTTTTAGAATAGCACATGTTCATGTTTACATTTTGTACAATATCCAGCAGTGTTAGAATTTCAATGGCTTTTCAGGCGTTTTTGACTTCATAAAGTCTTGTTGGGCTGGTATCCTACAATTTAAATAACATATCTTCCATTCATTCATTGAGTGTATGGAGGTATCAATAAAAGTAGGTATACTTAATTCCTTCAAGCTGAGTAAACAATATAGGCTTTTGGCTTGACTCCCACTTGGGAATCATTCATGCATAACCATAATCACCCACTCTTCTCATCCACAGGGTTATTTTGATGATTGTTCAATGAAAATTTATATAACCATTAAAATCATTATTTTCCATCCTTTTTGAAAATCGAAAATACCAAAACGAATAATAAACCCTATGTGCTTTTTCCAAAAACAGAATCACAACTTTTGTGACGTCATCAAAATCTGACATCATGACCTCGAGTTGCTACTGTTCTAGCCTTTCCCATTCCACATTTCGTCATATGACGCCATCACTTTTCATGTACCATCTCACTCATCCCCGGGCCTGTCACAACAGCAACCTACCAATGTTTCTACGCTGTTGCCAACAGGGCTGCCCGCTTTTCCGTAGCAGTATTTCTGCCGATCTCTAAACATCAGATGGTAAAGAAAACAGAGATTAATAATAAAATTGGACCATAAATTATCATAAACGGATAAATATTACATTTCTGTTACAGTGTGTAGGATCAGAATCTGGTGATTATACGATTCTATGCATTACTTTCATGTTTATTACATGCCTAAAACAATGTACTATAAATACTTTACCAAGCCAATAGGGTAACATTCAACAACATGAAATTCATCCGCATCTCTTGATAGAAACTGTCTTCGATGTATAAGTTAAGAAAATGCGAACCTGTAAACTTGATTTATCTAAAAAGTATACGACTATTCATAGTGTATTGTAGGCCTCAAGGTTTAAAGTCACTCTATGGGACTCCACCTTTGTTGATGCTCAGATAGAAGACTCAGCTGACGTGACATCACAAAATAACAAAAATACGTCCTTCACAAAAATCTCCGAAATGGCGT